ACAACTTTTTAGCATATGTATTGATATTTATTAGTATTATCATGAGTAAATTATATAATAAAAGTTTAGGATGTTATGGCAGCAAGTATCATTACGTGTATAGAGAATTGATGGGTTTTGATTATCGTTCTCATGAGTTGATGGATTTGGATTTTCGTGCTTTGTATCGGTTTGTTTACATTAAATTCTAAAAAGGAAACCATGAAGTTTTCACTCAAAAAAAGTGCATGCTTGCAAAAAGTAATGAATTGATGGCATAAACTCAAAGAGATCTTCATACAGTTTTGATCAAAGATGGTATCCAGTAAATAATAAATGGGCTCGTGTTTTAGCTCATCTAAGTGAAAAGGCTTTTAAAATTATATTACATTTTGACGTGAACTATTATACAAAATTTATTAAACACAAATTTGATCTTTTGAAATGAGGTTTTAATTGTTTATTTTAAAAACTGTACAAGTATAAAATGCTCCCAAATTCATGTCCCACATTGCATAAATTATATTTGACATACTCCTTCCTTTCAAGGTCTTTCGTTAATAAAATTCCAATTGAGTCGTATAACTATAACCAAATCCTTTCTTTAGGGTTGACCATATGTTTGAGTATCAAATATCAATTCAGATTAAAGGTGGAGCATACCTACACTACATGAATCTAATTTTTTTTTTAAAAAAAATCACATGATGCAAAAATAATTTAGATATGACGTGCTAAATGCACCGTTGAAATTTAACGAGGTTATTTCCTGCTTTTAACAACGTGTTAGTGATTCATATTTAGAGCCAAAAAAGTCCAAACCTCTATGGCCATAACCCTACTTTAGCTATAGCTGAGAGAGTGGAGAAAAGACCTCCATTTAGACCCAAAGGCCGAAGGCAAAGGGTAAGCGTACAACGGTAAGAGCAAACTTGTGAGAATAGTGTTTTGCTTTTCCCTAAAACTATCTCCAACAAACTAAAAGTAAAATGATTCATCTACATATCTACTCACGTGAGGTGAAGTACACCTAGGTATGCATCTGATTCTGATCATCCAAAAGAATCTCAGCCCTTTCTCTATACTCAGATTAGCACCCATTTCTGGGAAAAGGAACTGAAAATGGTTTGATTCTTTGATTTCTTCCTTCTATTTTATGCTCAAACTCCAGCTTAAACGCACTAGTTTTCATCCCCGTAAAGCTAAAAAGGAAATTTTTACGACACTGTGTCCAATGGAGAAAGAAACAAAGCCCTAACCCTAACCTGTTATCTTCCACAATTTTCGTTGGTAGACACAGATCAGGTGAAATGATTTAGTTCCCTGAGAAAACACTGTTTTGCCCTTGATATGCCCGTTTTTCTTTTGAACTTGTAGGTTTCAGAGAGAGAAGGGGGATTCAAGAATTAATCAACCCAGCAAACCCTAGTGGACAGAGAAAGACCAAAACCTAGAACGTTTCATAAAGAGAGAGGGGGGGAGATCTGATTCATGAGACCACTTCTGGGAAAACCCTAAGAGAGATGGAGGGAGGAGAAGAAACCCAATAGTTGAAAAAGCTTGAAAGTTCCATCATCAATGGAACTGGAAAAGACAGGCTAAAAGTTGTTGTGAGGCAAAAATCTAGGGAATATTATTTGTGTCTGAGTGGTTGGAGCAATTCCAGTGGTGGGGATTTGCAGAAACAGGTAGAGATATACATAGAAAAAGATAGCGAACCAGAAACAAAGACATGACCCTCTCTCTTTCCCTTATCCTTTCTTCTACCCAAAACCGGTGGGTGTATGTAACCCATTGGTAGTGCAGCCAAAATAATTGCACTTCGTGTTTCGAGTCATTTTCTTCATCAAAAGTACCTAATCCTAATCAATCTCTAACATGTTTTTGGTCTTGCCCTTTCAAATTTCTTTTTCATCTCTTTTGATAAGTATTGTTAGAGTTTATGGTGTAAATTTTGTTTTGATACACCTTAAAATTAGGGTAAAAGAAGTAGACTGATTTTCTGTCTTTAGTTTTTCTTTTCTTTTTTTTAATGTAAATTACGAAGTTGTTATTTTTCATCTCATATATATTGATTGTTGTTATCTTTTCAAAGGACATTAGGTACAATATCTACTTGCAAGCAGGGCCACACACATGCGTTCAATGAACATATTCACAACCTGTCTTTGTCTTTAAGTGTTTTCTGAGGTTATCAGTTGAATGGAATAAGTAAATGGAGTCATGACGCTGCAAGCTTTGATACCACAGACTAAAAAGTGAGAGCATCATTGATAAATGTTTTTCCACAGACACGATGGAAATGCAATTATCTCTTCTGGTTTGTGGGATTCCCTAATGCACGTAAATGAAATTTTGATGTTACATCTCAAAAGTCGAAAGTACAAAACATTTCCTTTAATTGAGCCCTAGGTAAACAGCTGAAAATATAACTATTATTATTATTATATCTATTTAGAGGCACAATTTCAGCTCAGATGCAAATTACAATTGACGTTCCAAGATCGGTCTGATTACCAGTCTTGCTTTAAGCTGATAGAAAAATGCTAAATGCACAATATAAACATTCCTCGGGTTTTATTTGTTTGAGCATCTAGATCACAACACTAAACTGTAACCACTAAACAGGCTGGAAATTAAAGGAAAAGAAGCAGTAGAAAAAACCCATGTTTAAAAGCAAGGAATTCATGTAGGACGAAACCAAAACAGAGGGATTGACAAGACGGAAGATTACCTTGGATTCTTCGACATCCACCCTTCACTTGAAAATCTTTGATTGGCGAAGAAATTGAACTTTGAAAATACCCATCCTCCAGCTATAAAGAAGGGTGTGAAGTAAAGGAATTTGTGGTTCATTTTCCTCCCACGATTTATCATCAAACACCTACCGTTTTTATGGCAATTTTACTCCAAAATTAATGGAATGAATTAGCCTTTTTTTCCTCGACAGTGAAAGTGGTACGATACAACCGTTCTTTTTGACCGTCTGCACCTGTCCTTTTGGAGGCTCTAGGTCTGCAGAACCCGAGCGAACTACAGCCACACACGGCATTGTTGCTGCCTAAACCTAAAGCCGAAACTAAAAATCAAACAGAACTAGAAGCGAAATGTAACACAAGATCAGCAACAGGCAATCGATGAGCTCAAGTGTATAAATCAAATCAAATGAGCCGAACAAATCTCCCAAAATCTGTAGCCAACTGCTTCAAATCTAAACGACTTTCCTAGGCGGGCTAGCTTAGCCTGAACTACTGTTTTAAGTTTTTAACTGTAACAAACACCTCTTATGTATGTAAACCGAACCAGGTTTTCTCTCTCTTTTTTATGTAACCCGCAAGTTTTCACTGCCACACTTAAATCTATTATTTTTCTCACATAATCAATTTAGTCAAACGACTCCGTTGCTAAACACCACCGACTTTTTTTAAATGTTTTTTAGTACACATCAAATATAATAAATAAATTATTTTACAAATAATTTTCTGAATGTGAGAATTGATTGTTTATACATTCCACATGGGCTTTGGTGGGAGGTTTTGACTTTTAAAATGTCCATGAAGTTTATAATCACCAACAACTCACTTTGCGTTGTATTCCAAATAGTTAATGCATGGTCAACATCCCCACGCGGCACTGCCATGAGTTCCAGTTGGGCTCCTTTTTTGTCTTTTGAAAGTTCGGTCCGCACTTTGGGAGGATATGTTGAAGTAAGAATTTTTTTGGTTAAGAAAATGGTGGTGAGCTAGTGTCACACTCTACCATAATGGATCTCTGTCTTCCGCTCTTTCTTATGCATTCATCTTTAGGTTATTTTTCACCTTAAATTTATGATTTTAGGTTATTCAAATGATATGATCTCATAAGTTTAGATAAAATAAAGATACGATATCAATTAAGTTTTTCGTTTCATAAAAAAACTTATATGTTCTAATAATAATTGAATGTTTGTCTTAATAAAATGCCATTAAATAAGGCGTCCTCTCAGCGAGAGATCCTAAGATAATACATTCCCATGAAAAAGGTGTTTCCCTCGCGTACAACTTGATCCCTTGGATTGTTATAAAATTAAAGTCAACGAAATACATATGCTATGGCAAACGGGTCCGGGGATGGGCAATTTTCCAAGTGCTTAAACTTTTGGATGTCGGCCAATTTAATAACTTGAGAATTTTTCTACGAGAATATAAATGGAATCCCCTGACTTAATAATTAACAAAATTGAGCCATGTGTTTACCAAGTTAATCCAGACTGTTACCACTGTCAAACACACACACACACACTATATATATATATATATATGCACCCTCTGCCACAGCCGCGTAACGTGTGTGGATAAAACATCCTAATATATTTATGGGTTAACTACATGATTTGTCACTTATTTTTATATTTTGTTTACTTATCTTCACTGATTTAAAAAAAACATAATATATGGTTATTTTTTTTATTAAGATGTGGTCACCATAAATTAATTGTCGTTAACAGATTAGATGACATGACAGTTAAATATTTTTGTATAATCACACATTTAATCCATGTTATTCACACATTTGGTTTCTCAAGTGACCCAGGTTCGAATCTATGTGGTCTCGATTTACTTTGCTTTGTTTTCTTTCAACCAGAGAGTGACGTATGTCACCAAATATGTGATTAAACCAAAATATTTAACCATCAAGTCACCAAATATATTAATTGTTAACGGCAGTTAACTCGTGGTGATCACGTCATAATTAAATAAAAATGAACGTGACATATCTTGATTAATTAAAAATGAAAGTGATCGTATATTATGTCTTTTGAAATCAATGAGAAAAAGTAGACAAAACACAAACAAGTGACAAATCATGTGTTAACCCTATATTTATTTAAATTAAATTATACAAAATATATGTTAATAATAAATTATAAGCATCATAAATGACCTTCTTTTCCTCTCCAATAGATCACTAGCATTGAAGCAACCCAATCTCTCTAAAACCCCCCATAACATGCAACACTCTCCTCATGAATCTCCCTACCAATGGCCCTTAACACTACCATTCTTCGCCTCTCTTTCTTGCTTTTATTCTTTGCCTCATTCGTCAACGCTAATAATAGCAGTTGCCACACTTTGAGCACCAACCGGAAACTCTTGTCTACCAAATTCGACTTCACTCCATTCCTACATCATCACCACTACCACCACAGACATCGCCCCGACAACGACAATGCCAAACCTTCCGGTAATGAGATCGATCCTCGTTACGGTGTAGAACAACGGCTTGTTACTACTGGTCCAAATCCCTTGCACCATTGAGGTTCCCTTGTCTCTTCTTCTTCGTGATTTTCTTATTTATTTTACTCTCATGTATTGAAATTCATTTATATGAATTCTATGTATATTTGTTCAAATTCCTTGAAATTACCATAATTCAGATATAGTACTGAAAACTTCGGATCTCTCGTTTATTTATTTTATTATTTTTCAAATTTAGGATGTTCATGTGTAATATTACAGTTTTAGTTCGTGGATTAACATGCGAATAATATATTGTTTCTTGTAATTTAGTACGTTTTATTCCGTGCTGTTGAGAAATAACCGGAGGAAGAAGAGTAGCAGTGACGACACGGCACATCACGGGAAGCGTAATTTTAGCAACGCTGCCCATAAGAAATCTGCATATTGTTTCATTTAGTTACGATAGGAGCTCTAAAAACACTTTACTGCAAATAGTTGAATAGGTAAAGAATAATAAAATTTAAAATTATTTTATGCTAATATTTATATACTTTTATAATTAAATATTAAATAATACTTTTGAGTTTTGTCAATTTACACCAATGGAGACTGATCCATGTTATTGATTTGTTGGGTTTTAAAGATTTATTTCTCTATAGAGAGCCCATTTTTTAGAAAACTTGTTTGGGTTTTTAATTGACCCCATTTATTATTGTCTTTTTTCGAAATAATTATAACAAATAGTTGTATCGAAAAATAAATAAATAAAAATTTCTAAATTTTATAATTTTGAGAGAGAATAGTTTACGAAATTAGAGGTTAATTAATCATATTAGTTGATTATGTATTCCAAAATCATTAAAGAACAAATATTGACTACTGAATGATGTAGATTTAAATAACTATATAAGGAAATTAAAAAGAGTTAATCAAGCAATTCAAAAGGCATAAGATACAAACAAGTTACATTTCGTTGCACATTTCGTTGGTGAAAGATAGGTTTCATCAACATTAATATAATAATAGAATATGGTAATAGTTGACAATATTACAATTTAAACACGACGTATTTGAAGTGATTGTGAATCCCTATTAATAAAAAGAATATTCAAATGATTAAAATGATGACAAATCAGTAAGATAATCAAATAACCACACACTAAATTTGAAATAAGAACTTTTCTAAATCAAGAAAACAACATGGTAAGAGCAAATAACAACGTCCACTATTTTTATTAAAAAATCTGTTAAAAATGATTTTTTTTTTAAAACTTTTGAGGTATATTTTAAATGGGTAAAGGTGAAAGTTTGAATCATAATATTATAATATTTTATTTTACTCCATGAGATTTTTAACAATTACAACAATATATCATATACACAAAATAATTGATTGATAAATAAGAAATTGATGTTAAAAATAAGTTAATTAAGAATATGTTGAGGAAAATAGAAAGTTTACGACCCACATTGATGTGATACAAAGCATGCAAAGTGTTTATATACGTGAACCAACTTAGATGTTGTAGGATTTACAAGACAAGATTTTGATGTGTGCAACAGTGTATATTGGTGTGAATACAAACTTAACGGAATTAGGCAAAGTGTCTTGAACATGTATTTATAAGTTGGAATGAGTTTGAAGTCGTATATAGTCGTTGGGATGTTTTGGAGCCGTTGGGGATTCATTTTCTACAAAATAAAACTGCCCAGAATAAGTAGTATCAGTACCCCTTCAATGGGTATCGGTACTACCTTTGTAATATTTGAAATTTTTTATCATTGGGCTTGATTTTACTGTAGCAGTATCGATACCCATTTTGCATTCTGAAATTTTTTAGCATCATTACTGTTCACACAGTATCGGTACTATTTATACAATATTTGTACTATTCATACAGTACATTACTATTCATATAGTATAATACTATTCATAAAACATTTTTGTGCTCAATTCCAAATTAAATGGACTTTGAATTATTTTTGAAAACTTTTAATGAATTCAATTCAAGTCCAAAAATATTTTGTTATAAATTTTAAAAAATATATAGTTCAACAATCTCCCCCTTTTTGATATAAGAAAACATTTGAAAAATTGTTTTTGGCAAAACTTCCCCTTAATAAAATGTTTAATGAAAAAGACACCAATTGTTTGGAAAATATATGAAAATGTTAAGTTCCCTTTTTAATTAATAAATTGAATTTTTCAAACCAAACTTCTCCCCTCTTTTTGTTATATAAAAAATAATTCAATCTTTAAAGATAAAAATAACAATAGAGAGTAAGTGATAATTTTGATATTAAAAAATTATTTGAAAAATCAAAGCTCCCCTCAATACGTGCATTCCAAACAAAATTTAGCTTTAAAAACTTGACACTTAAACAAAATTGAATTTCAAAAAAGAATAACAAACATGTTAGTAGCACATGAAATTCAATGTATCCAAGTTTAAAATATTTTATGCAGTATCAATTGTTTAAATTAAGTGCATATGCATAAAGCTTTCAAAAATGCTATGCATTTGAAGAATTTGATATCAATTGTTAGAGATATATCTTTTGCATTTAAAACACATGCATAATCATTTAAATTTAGGTCAAAAATTTAAAATTTGAAAAATCAAAGTATTTGAAAAGTTTATATCAATTTTTAGAGAGATATCATTTGCATTTAAAATCAATTTTGACCAAAATTCATTATAATGAACTAAATATTATGAAAAATCATTAAAATTTTAAAATGTTCATCATAACTTGCTTTTAACATACATGAGCTAGAATTTTAACACAAAATCATTTAAGTTCAAAACTCATGCATGTACAAACCTAAATGAGCAACCAATTAATGAAAAACAAAAGTTTTAAGTTTAGAGGTTACACATTTCTTTTCCAAGTGTGACTTGAGCATTTGAATATCTTCACTTTCATCACCATTGCTCCTACACACCTACAAGAGACATTTATTTCGATTTTGGTATCCAAATTGCTTTGGATCCTTGGACGTTAGTTTCAATGCCCCTTGTTCCCTTAGGAATCCATACTTGTCTAATTTTAAAACGTTTTTCTTTCTTCAAATGACAATTATGTTCCGTGTGACCATAATAATGGCAATATGAGAATTTTGCCATTATTAAACTAGATGAATTATTTAAAATGATTTCTTTTTCTTTTGTTAATCATTCAAGCTTAACTTTTAAATCAAAATTTTCTTTTTCAAAACTTCCAATTTTCATTTTTGAAAGCTCAAAATCCTTTTTCAACATTTCATTTTGATTTTCAAAATCTATTTTTGCTTTCAAAAGGAAATCGTTTTCGATTTTAAATTTTGAAATCATTTTTCTATATTTGGAGTTCATGGTCTCAAACTCCGAAAATAATTCATCGTAGGCAGCTTGTAACTCATCAAAAGAATATGAATTAATTCATTTGAGCTAGAAGATACCTCAGGCTCTTCATGAACCCTTAGAGACACCACCTTTGTTGGTTCTTCTTTCTTGTTTCCATAAAGCTTTTCAAGCTTATTACAAAGCTTATTGACATTTGAACAATAAGAAACTCCTTCATATATATATGGACCAAATGCACAAAACAACATGTGCATGACCTTGGCATTAAGTTGAGTTTTCTTCCGTTCTTGGTCACTCTACTTCTTATCCTTCTTCTTAGGAGAAGAGTAGTCGTTCTCGATCATCTCCCATGTATCAAGATCATTGGATTGTATGAATAGCTTCATTAATTTCTTCCAATGACGATAGTTTGCTCCATTGAAAAGTGGAGGCTTGTCAATCGGTTGGGAATCTTCCATGTAGAACGAGCCGGAGGTGGAAGCCATTTCTTGTCGGTTGCTTTGGAAATTGGTAGAGCTACTTCTAGGATCGTCTCAAGATGGTTAAACCTTCTAACGAGTTAGGCTCTGATATTAATTGTTGGGTTAATCGATCGGATGAATCGGCCAAGAGGGGGTGAATTGGTAATTAAAACGTCAGTGGAAGCTTTTGCAGAAAATTTAAAATATTAAAATATAGTTCAACAAAACTCTACGGTCTCACCAGCGATCCATGTACGATAAATCCAAAATTGAGAGGAAGAGATATGATTTTTTACATTGAGTTCTTTGAAAAACAACAAGATTGCAACTACGGTAAAAGTAATCACGAACGATTTGAATCGCAAGCCTCCACGATAAACGTCTCAACCTCTACTCAGTTCACCTAGTTGAGAGCAAATATTTTCTTTTCACAAAAACGGTTTTGAGAAAAAACGGCTAAAGATAAAAAACGACTGCTAGACCTTGCTTATCTTTATATACACAAGTTATCCTAAACTTTAGGGTTTATAATTATGAATTAATTAAATTTGTATTTAATTATTCTGAAGTAAATGCCCATTAAAAGAGTTATAATCAAAATTATATTATTTTAATATTCATTTATTATATTTGGGGCAATTAATATTATATATATTAAATATACATATATTAATTATATTCTTCAATTATGTACAATAAATTGTACAATAAAATTCATTTAATATTTGCTCATTTCAACAATTAGGTGTGACCCTATAGGTTTCTGTAATGTTAGTAGTAATAACTAGAATCATTCTAATATTACAAACAATGAGTGACATCTAGCAATATATCATTGTTACCTAAGTTACAGGAAGTAATGACTTGATCCATCATCTTCGTGACTAACTCTTTTATGTATTACATCATTTTGTCCTTAATATCTAGAATATGCACAAGTATTGAAAAAATCACACTTGTATAAACCATCTATTATTTTTTTATATCTAGAATATATTATAATTAACAAATAATTTGTGGTATCTCATATCAACTTATTCGAGCATGACCATGCATGTTTAAATGTATAAAAACATACAACAATATATGTTGAGATAGCAGTGATCTCAAGTATGAGGGTCATACATATAGTCATCATCATGAGCAATGTTGTGATCATCACATAATAATCAAAGACATATGCTCATAGTGGGTCAATCCAATATGTCGTTCTCTAACAACATATTCATGCATTGATTCTGACATCTCTATGTCAATGATAATGCATTGT